ACACACACTGTGAGCACATCATCCTTACACACACTGAGCACAGCATCCTTACACACACACACACACACACACACACACACACACACGTGCATCTGTCCAGCCATACAGGTGGAAGTAAATCTGCAGCCCTCTGCATTTATCCTTTGAGAGAGCCTGGGACAACATGGTCCACCCCAAAGGATGCAGTGCAAGATGCCAAATTAATGGGTGCATCCCCCAGCCTGTGTAACACGGGCTGAAGAAAGACACCACACTATTAAATCAGGGCCAGAGGAGGAAACTGAGGCACAGGGCATGAGAAGGGCTTCTTGGCAAAGAGGTCTTCAAATCTTCTCCCAGTTTCCTTACCTGCTCAGCTCTGAATCTGGTCTCAGTGTATTACTGATCCAGATCTGATGCTCATGACTTGAAAAGAGAATGTGTTCACCCTCTCCCTGCTCTGATATCTTGGGGCTGGCTGTGACAAGCAGGCTTAGAGTCCAACAGTCCCTGGATAACACTCCATGGAACTCCTCCTGAGTACCCCCTAGGGTCTATGGCAGGTGAGACCTCATACAAGACCCTGCTGTCTCTCCTCTCCATTAGATCCTTCGTGCCTATTGTATTATCTTGGAGAAGCTGCTGGAGAATGAAGAAACTCAGATCAACGGGTTCTGCATCATTGAGAACTTCAAGGGCTTCACCATGCAGCAGGCATCAGGGATCAAACCCTCCGAGCTCAAGAAGATGGTGGACATGCTGCAGGTGAGGTGGCAAAGTCTGCACCCAGCAGTAGCAGAGGGGACCCTGGGCAAGCAGGGAGCTCAGAGGTAGGGCTAGCAGGGTTTGGGATTGCCACCATGCTGGAACAATGTGAAAGCATTGTGGAGAGGCTGTTCTCCATCACCCTGTCCCTGCCTTGCCAGCTAATTGGCTTAACCCTGCAAAATTTTCCCCATCCCATCTCCCTGCCTTCTCAAATCCCTGACCAGAAGCAGTGCTACCACTCCTTGCAGCATCCATGGGCATGGCCTGGAGGGCTTTCCTCATGAGCCTCTCAGCCCAGCCTGGTCCAGGCTGGATAGAGACACAGGCACTCCAGGATTTCTGCCCTTGGACCAAATGCCAAAGACACTTGGCTCTTCCCAGGGAGGGTCCTTCTCATGAGGAGCAGTCTGGGAGGTTCTTCAGCTCCCTGGTACTCCTGAGGTGGGGGTGGCTGATCCTCTGGGTCAGAACAGAGAAAGGGACATGGAGCAAGGAGAGGTGTGGCAGTGCTGGTGTATCCATTGCTGCCTGCTCAGATCAGGGTAAGATCTGAGCAAGGCTAAGATCTGTAACCATCTGTGTCTGGGTTTGGGATCCCAGGACTCCTTCCCAGCGCGGTTCAAGGCCGTCCATTTCATCCACCAGCCTTGGTACTTCACCACCACCTACAACGTGGTCAAACCCTTCCTGAAGAGCAAACTGCTGGAGAGGGTGAGTGTGGGAAAGGGACCTGCAGGCAAAGGCACGTCCTTGGGTGGAACAGAGCAGCTGGGAAGAGCTGTCCTGATCCTCTGCTGAGGGCTACTCCCATCTCCCCCAGGTCTTTGTGCATGGTGAGGAGCTGGAATCCTTCTACCAGGAGATCGATGCTGACATCTTGCCAGCAGACTTTGGTGGCAACCTGCCCAAGTATGATGGCAAAGCAACTGCAGAGAAGCTCTTTGGGCCTCGCATCGAGTCTGAGGACACAGCTCTCTAAAGCAGGAGCCTGCTGCTCTCCCCTGTACCACAGCACCAGAGGTGGCCCTCTAACCCCACCACCTCCCTCCTGTAGCATTGCTTGAGTGACTGTTCGTGCTGCAGCAGCCTGGGTGTGCTGCTCCATGCCTGTCCCTCCTGTCCCCACTCCAGGCACAGGGCTGTCCCTCCCAGGCACAGCATCCTTCCCTCTGGAGCTGCTGGGGAAAGGAGGCCACCAGCCCTCTCCCACAGCCTTTCCTGGAGCTGCAAGGGGAGGACAGGAGAGTGTCTGCTCTGGGAAGGGAGGGCTACAGTGAGGGAGAAATAAAGTGTTTAAAGCAGAGCTCTGGTGCCTCATGGTGAGGAACAGGGGCACAGCTTTTTGGGTGCTGGCTGTGTTGGTGGTTCTAAGGAGACCAGGAGTGCCAGTGTTTAGCAGGAGACCCCAGTCCCCTCATCACTGACTCCACTTTGGCACCAGGACCAAGGCACTGTCCATCTCCATCCTCCCTGCATTCCAGATCAAGTCCTTTTCTTGCCTGAGAAAGGGCCCCCAGTTCTTTCTTATCTGCTCTAACCAGGGAAGAGAAAACAGATGCAAAACAAATACCCAACCAGGGTCCCAGCTGGAGCTGTCTCTGCCCAATTCCTTCTTGGGCAGGAAGGAGAACAGAACCTGAGCAGTCATTGGGACTAGGAAATTATTTCAATCACAAAACAATTGAAAGATAAGCAGAATGTACCCTCCTAAATCCTTCAAAAGCCTCAGCACAGCTGTTTCTCCTAGCACTGCACTGTGAAAGGGAGCTTATCCAGGGAAGCTCCACCAAAAGTCACCATGGAGGGCAGAGGATGGTACCTGTGCAGCAAACCAGCTGCACCTGACACTAACTACAGCTTGTTCAGGTGGGGAGGAGGGAAGCATAGGTAGCTGTCCCTGTCTAGAGAGTCTGTTCTGGCTCATGAACCAGGCATCTCCTCCAAAGAGTCAATTGGACACCCATTCCCAGACCATCTCCTCCCTTGGCCAGCAGCAGGGCTCAGAAAGGAACAAGCTCCTGGTCTCTGCCCAGGTTACCTTCTCCCTGAGCCTGATCCCACCAGTGGGTCCTGTTCCCCTCCCAGCTCCATGTGAGTCCTTTTCATCATCCAGATCAGCCCTCCCACCCAGGGCTGGCCAAGGTGGAGGGATTGACAAGAGCCACATTCAGCAGGGCACTGGCTCAGGCTCAAACCAAACAGGACAGGGCCTGCCTGGGGTTAGATGTTTGCTCCAGCCTCAGCTGCTTGCTGAGTCCATGCATGGAGAGTCCCAAAGCCTGAGGCTGTGCCAACCTTGTGCAGGAGTCCAGAGACAGAGCAAAAGGCACTTCTCCACCTCCTTTGGCTCCTTTCTGTACCTGGAGCCATCCCAAGGAAACCACGTGTGACAACCGTGCAAGCATCAGGCCAGTGCAAACACAACAGCACAGCTTGCCTAGGAGGCAGAGCAACTGCAGCTTCTGGAAACAGAACAAGGGGGAAAAAACTCATCCACAGAGACAGGAGTATCACATTGCTGCCTCTGGGTTTGCACTGGGACAGTCACAGCTCCTGGGAGGTGCCTGTGGCTGCTCACCACTCCTGTGACAAATTGTCAGCCAGGAGCTTGCTGTGATGGGGAGACAGAACAGCACAGCCGAGCTGGCAGCTGAGTGACTGAGCAAGGCAGGAAGGAGCTCTGAAGTGGATCTAACAGCTAATTCACAATGGCCAATAAATTACAGATGAGGGCCATTGTGTCCCACAGAGCACCCAGTCCAGCTGCCCCAGCAGGGCACCAGTCCCAGTTCCCCTCCACAACTCCCTCCCTTGGGCTGTAGGCAATAAATCACACAGTGGAGAGCTGTAATGTCAGGTGAGCAGTGCTTTTGTACACTCAAGGCTCACAGATGTCACTGTCCTGGCCACAGGAGCTGGTTTGTGTTTCTTCTGCCAGCAGCTGAAAGATCAGGCAATGCACTTACTCTCACACAGGGAAAAATAGCAGCTGTTCTATTCTAGTGGCAAAAATAACTCTTTTTCAGTAGTTTCATGCCAGATGTGTTTTTTTAAGCTGATGCTGTACCTATTTCTCCACCAGAGTGGCATCAAAGACCTCTTCTTGGGCAGAAGACAAAAAGCAACCAGGAAAGGCTTGAGCACCACTTTTATCACCTTCCCCCCAGCCAGCTCCCCAAGCTGGGCCTCAGGGAACACTGAGAGCCTCTGCCAACATATGGAACTTCACACACAGGCACTAGCTGGAGCACTGACTTCAATAAGTCCTTTATTTTTAAATAAAGAAACCCCACTGAATCAAAGATAACAAAATTACATTTTGTTTTGCAATGACTTCCATTTTACACCACACAAGAACAAAAATTAAAGAAAAAAAATCAAAGACAGTTTTATATATATTTATATATAATTTTAAAGGTAAACATCAGCAGATATAGAAAAATTGCATTGCTAGTTGCAAATCATCTCCCCTGCAGCTCTCAGCTCCAGAGAATCTGACTCAGAACATGGCAGCAGGGAGGGTGTCTCAATATACAGGCTTCTTCAGGGCAGCATTTAGAGATAGTTACAGAATATAATTTTGCCAAATTAAAAATATTTCCATAGTCAACTGCTCACCAAGACCACCGGAAGTCACTCTGCCTGTTCTAACACAGCTGCATGAGAAAAACAAGGGCACAGGTCTCCTCTTCCCAAGCTCTTTACACACCTTTTTGGCTAGGAACTTTCAGAGAAAGAGGTTATGCTTTCTCAAGAAGAATGGCTAGAGATCTGTCACTGGGAATTACAGTCAAGTATCATGTAACAATGAGACAATATGCCCCTTTGGAAAGCTGTTGACTTGGGCAAAGCAGTAGGATTTGGTTACAACAAATACAAATTTGTTATTTGGCTTTTTTAAAATTTTATTTTAAAGACTTTTTAGTTGGCAGGGACCATGAGATGGGTCAACATCCCAGCAGAACTATAGTGGAGATCCAAGAAGAAAACTCTGTATCTCCTCTCTGGTCATGCAAAAACTTTTGATTACAATGGGAGCTTGTCAGTCAGACCAAAGCAAAGGGGCTTTGTGCCACCTTGTACAGATGTTCAGGGTAACTCCAGAAACCTTTCCAGCACTGCATGGAAAGCTGGCAACTGCTTTGACTCATTGATGGCACTTGTGCCTAAGCTGCCCTGACAGCTGAGGAAGCCCAGGCCAGTGTCACTGTCACTGAGGAGGGTACAGGAAAAGGGCACCCTCCCTTGGGCTGTGCTGCTCTGAGGCATTCTAAGCTTGGAGAAAAATCCTGAAGTCCTCACACCAAGAAGGGCTGTTTGCTTTTCACCTAGAAGCCATGGAAGAGACACTGCTTTGAGTCACTGTGGCTCCAGCACCTTCCCAAATGAGCCAGCCCACAGAAGGGATACAGACATGGAGTATGACTCAAGGCAGAAACAAGATGTTCTTTACAACAAGTGACTTACACAGGCAGCACAAGGCTCAGGCCTTCTCTGGTCTCGCAAAAAAAGACTGAAGAATTTCATTAAGCTCCAGACAAGCATAGCATTTCCAGAAAAACCTGGAAGCAATCCAGGTGACTAAACTGGCAATTAAGTCCTGAAGATGGTACTCTCTGCTCTTTCCTTTGAGATGTAGCCACTTGAGCAATTTACCTCCAGCTATGCTGCTGGAGGGTTAACAGACAAAAACTTTGGGATTGCAGGATAACAATTCACACATTAAGTAAAGCAAACCCTGCTTCTATGACTCAATTCCTACTGCTAAAGGAGCAGAGAGTTGAAAGCGATCCACTGCTTATATACATTGTTATTTTCAGCCCTGAAACTGACTGCAGCCAGTTGTAGGCTGCCCACAAAGGTCCTTTAAGTCAGCACTCAATTGTGCCATGTGCATCACTCGTGTGCCTCAGTGTCTGAAAATTCATTCACCAAAAAGCAAAGCCCCAAAAGCTCTGACAGAGCTGTTACTGAAGTCTCTAGATATGCTGATGTCAGGGGAGGAGGAGGAAAAGGGCAAGGCACCACGTGTCAAAGGGCTGTGGTCTAGGAACTTGTGACAGGCCCAGGACAGATGACACACAGGTTGCTTGGCTAAATTCAGTACTGGAGTTAATAGTTCCCAACATTTTTACTTAATGCCCTGTCTTTGTAACCCATACCTTCATAAACAGGAACTGCAGAAAAACACTCAGGAAAAGGATTGTAAGGAAGTTCACTGTTTGCCTTTACAGTGCAACTATAACACTGCCAGACCCACCTGAAAACACCTTGATTTAGAACAAAGGGACAATTAAAAATGCTGGCAGAGCTCGTGTAGTGGAAGCTGAAGTTCCTTGTGCTCAGTCAGAGCAAGTCTGAGCTGCTTATTTACCATCTTCAGATATCTCCAGAAAAATGGCAAAGGTGATGGTTGGACCAGCCTAACCATCAAAGAGTAATTGTTCTGCAACTTGCTGTCTGATTGAGAGGGTCCTCAGGGTTCATGTTCAAGTGCTACTTACATTCAGTGATGGGGAAGGTGTGTTTACCATGAAACTACCCATGGAAGAGCTCTCCTAATGATTTTTCTAATCCTAGTTTGAAACTAAGCAGAGCACATGTCAGATTCAGCAAGCTGTAATCTTGAACTGCTCTATCACACCACACTGCAATGATCTACAAGTGCACACTTCAGCAGCCTCATGTGTTTGGACAAGAGATGAAAGACTTCACCTCTAAGACTGAAAAATTCAGACTGCATTTAAGGCTGGGTTCACTGGGCAATAAAGACCACCTGCCCACATAACAAGAGTAGTATTGCCTTATTTTGGGAGACAAGAGTATTTCAGATTAGGACTGGACAAAGTCTGACTACTGCTCCAAGTCTGACTACAAGTCTTGCTTTGAAAGAAGCATCAAATTTGTTGAGATGGAGAGAACAGCTTTTTTTTTTTAACACTGCTTCCACCTACAGGCTTAAGCTGAAGCTCCAGAAACCTCGCACAAAAAGAGCCACAACAAAAGCTGTCCTTCCCCAAATAAGCCAGATTCAGTCAAGTCACAAGTGATTTGAACAGTTTTAGATTCAAGTGCAAAACCAGGGCAAAGGAACAAGACAGAGACCCATGGTACTTCTGTAGTGGAGAGTTTCAGAAAGTCCACAGCACTGGCACTTCTGAAGGCTTGAGTTGTGGGGTAGGAAGGAGTACTCCTCAGAAAGGCTCTCCAAGTTTAAAGAAAAATCTCTACTTGATTAGACAAAGCTACAGGTCCTGCTGCTTTGAGAACTGTCCAGTTGCTCACCTCATTTTGGGAGACTTGGACACCTAAATTTATACTGTAGCTATTTGATGTGTACATGTGTTGTTTACACTCCACTTCTGCTGAAGTGAGGAGATATTTAAGTCCTACCCAATGAATATTACATGAACACTACTTAAGCAAAAAAACTGAAATGTCTTTTATGACATACTTTAGTGATGCAGTATGAATAAGAACATAACACAGAGACAAGAAATCCATCAGCTAAGAATATCCTTGCTAACTGATGCCCTAAAATAGTTCTTAAGGAACAGCCACAAGCACAGCCAAATCTTGCTGTAGCTTTACTTAGTTTCTCATCTTCTCTTTGAAGAAAAAAAGAAGCCCAGATTTACTGACTAGGAGAATGTGCAGACATCCACAGTTCACCGTGGATCACAGGCCAAGGTGTTTGACCTAAGGCAAATGAAAGGAATTTCCTGATATGACAATGCATTTTTGCTACAATAGTTAATTATTGCTTTATTAAAATGAAACCCCACCTACTCAACCTACTTAAGTTCAGGGACAGGGCAGTCCAGGAGGCTTGTTCCCCAGGTTTGTTGTTACTAGCCTGAAGACTTGCAGCTCGTTTCACCCTTAAGCTATAAATTAAAGTGCCTGAACATAGACCAAGGCTGAAGCAATAAAGTGCTGATGAGGGAAGTTGTGACAGGAAAAGAACTTCACTGACACTGTGATAAAGAAACCCTATCGATGGATTAATGACTCCACAATATTGAGAGAACAAACAGGGAAAAAAAAAAAGATTTTTACCACTAGTTTCAGTCTCCAGATTGTCATGAGACAACTTTCCTTTAATAACTATTTTGGCACAGACCATAGCTGCCACTTGAGGGAAAAGCACAGGTGAGTAGCCAGCTTTCCTGAAAACAGCTTTCACACTTCACTTTGCACATTAAAACTAGAAGGGGATGTCTGGTTGTGGAAAAAAAATTCTAGTGAGAAAGAGCCCAATGTCTTACTGGAGCCAGTAATCCTACAGATTACACAGATCTGAAAGTAGTCAGCCATGCAAAGATGTCATTTCAGCTGCACAGGGCTGGGGACACCAGTTCCACATCAACTCTAAGGCAAGTCACATGTCTCAAGCCCACCTGATGCTCTGAAAGCTAATGGGAGGAATTTTGGTATTATTTACCCTGACATAAAGGGAGTAAATCTAAACAGATACACCCTACCCCCCACCAATTAATCCCTAAGAGAGTACAATAGCTCTCCATAAAATAGTCTTTCAAGCAAATTGAGCTCAGAAAAAAATCCTGCAGATTCTTAATCATGGGTTTCCATTTGGAAGCTAAAGCCAGTTTTAAAAAGACCCAGGTCAAACAAAGAATCCAGTACTGAAAAGATAACAGTATTTCAAAAGAGGCAAAGGTGACAAGAAGGTGACTGATCAGGTCCTGAAATGAGAACATGTTTACACAGAAACATTAACTGGCGTTACCAGGCTGCAGCTTTTCTCTATTTGGAGATGCAGCATAAAGCCACCCCAATCCACTCACAGCTCAAGCATGGAAAAGTTGAATACTTTTAAAGTGATTCACTTGTGCAAGTGCATTCCTAGGTACTAAAAGGTTTCCCTTGAGATGGTGCAAAGCTGACACTACACTTGCAGTCAAGCACCTGTTTTTCCAAGCCACACTGTAGTGGCTTACAGGCTGAATCACTCACTGGCTTGTGGCTTGGTACAGGGATTTTCCAGCACCCAGAGAGAGAAGAGAGCCACAGTTATCCCATCATCTACACTTAAACAAATGCTGCAGATCAAGTTTTTGACCAGCAGGTAAAGAGATTTTGACATGTGAAACTTCTGCTATATTAAAGCAAGCAGTCTTTAGCTCAGTAGCCCTGGAACAAGCTACAGACAGCAACCCAATTCTTCAAGCAGAGCAGTAAATTACAAATCCACGTGACTGGATATCCAAAGAGGCTCTGACCAGATGTTAACCTCTGCTTTAAGTCAATTTTGGAAAAAAAGACATGGTGATCAAACCCCAGCCATAGGATATCAAGGAGAATGGAGACCTGAAGCAGCAGGTGAGGGAACAAGATGTTCCCAAATAGAGATTTACTGAAGTGATCCAGAGTCTTTGGGTCGATTACTCCTGGCCAGAGACAGCCTGCTCAGCATCAGAGCAGTGAGGCTTTGTCTTCTCCCACTGGCAGATGGCATTGGCATACTGCACCACGAGCTTATCCATCCAGGTAAGAGGCTCTGGGAACAGCACAGACCCCTCAAAAAATCCCAGGTGGCCTCCATGAAGGGGCAGCACATGCATGACATTCTCCTTTTTCTCTGTAAAAGAAAAAGAGGCAGAAAGTTCCAGGATAACATCTTCAAGCTGAGAATGAAAGCATCTTGAGTTGCCAGGACAAAGGCTGCCCCAAGAGATGCTGCTGACTGGGCCCTAACAGTAATAATAATAATAATAATAAAAATAATAATAAAAATATTGCTGTAAGAATGCTCATTCTTTAACAAATGAACACCTTTAACTCACATTCCCTGGAACTAAGACTGTTTGCATCGTGTCAAGCTGCACTAAGCTCTGATAGAGCATTAGCCATCTTGTTGCATGGACAGTGAAAAACTCCCTGTGCTTGCTTCTCTCTGAAAGCAGCTGGGGATAAATTCTCCGCTCACAGCCTCTGACCAGGAAAAGAATGAACCCTGCTTCCATCCCTGTACACCCACTCTTGGTGTGATGAAGCAGCAGCAGCAGCTCCCTCTTCTGAGCTTCTAAGTGTAATTTACCTTCTGCCTTGTTTGAAGACAGACAGCTCAACTCCTTTCAAGGGAGAGATCCCAGTTCAGTGCCAAGTGACAGAGCCATGCATGCACTGTCCCCATTTCATCAGCAAAGGGGGAGTTTATCTGCGCTTCCTCCAGACTGTCACCACCACCCATCTTCCTACTAAATCCCAGTGAGCAATGGAGATGTGAGGAAATCTTTTTTCATCCAGGAATGTAACCTGCTGCTATTAACACAAGCAACAGGTGCCTGAAAGGACTGAAGTTCCTCCTGCTCAGGATTAGCCTTGTTAGTTCTAGCAATTGGTGACTTAAAGAGGCTTAGCACACCTCCCACAGCATTACAGATGTAAGGAGGCAGGTCAAGCTGCTTTGAAATCAGGAATTGTGATGTGGGAAGCAAGCTGTAGGTACACAAATATGCCCAGCAGGAGGAGACTGTTTCAGCATACCTGAAAGAGCTCTTGGAATTGACAGAAGACTCTCATGAACAAGAGGGTCATCAGCAGCATTAACCAACAGAAGAGGAACATTGATCTGCATCAGGAAACACATCATAAAACGAAGAAACCAAACCAGAAATGGGTTAGTATTTGAATGTCAATCTACCAACTGTAAAAGTATCTTAGCATAACTCAACTAAGATCTTATTTCAGAGTTAATTTTGCCTCAAAGAAAGAGGCAGAGAGCAAACAGACTGAGTCCTCACTCTTAGAATTGAAATAACCACACCCTTTTTTCACTCTGCATTGCTTTGCACGTCAGGCAGCTATTGCCAGCTCTGTTATGGACACCTTGGTTGAAGTCCAGGAAACTCCCTTGGAACATCTCAATTCTCTGGTTCAGTAGAAAAAGAACTGATCTCAATTACACTTTGGCAAAACTTTGCTCAAGCATCTGCCTGTCAGTGTCCTGAGTCTCCTCCATAGAATCCACTAAGCCTTTCTTCCTTGGAGGCGCAGGCTCCATGCAGGCACCCATTTCCCACTTGATCCTCACACACTCAGAGCAGTTCAGCTGAATGTGTGGCTTTGTGTCCATCTCTTGGGTGCTATCACCTACCAAAGTTATATGCACTTAAGAGCCCAGAGAATTCAGCCCCAGTGTTAGAGGCAGCAAGATCTGAAATTCCACTCCAATATACTGTGGGTGACTATTTCTGAAAATCCCAGCTGAGGCATCTGCAGGTATCAACAAAAAAAACCCCACAGAATATTTTCCCTTAATGCAAGAACAGCCTGCTGCAAGAGCTTACCCTGTGCAAGTAATGCAGGCAACTTTCCTCTTCATAGTATTCCTTCAGTGAGCTGTAGCCATGGAATTTCCTGAAATAGAGCAGATTGTCATTAATATCACCTGTTCCAGCCATGTCACTATTACTTTTAAGTGAGGACACATGCAGAAACGGAAATAATGGCTCAATTTCCATAGACAATATTTTAATACCCAGTCTCTTTGCAAAACCCTTTTGCAGCACATGCCTTGATGGTTTCTGTGCCTTCTCAAACATTCTGAGAACATGGGCAAGTCAAACATGCAAACTGAAGAACAGCAGCCCTCAGGGTGTTTCTTTTAAAACACCCCACTTCACTTAATTGTACATGTGGATGAAAAAGTTAGGATCTTGTTCATCTTTCCCTAAAAGTCTTTTCAAATACAAACCCAGCATAGCTTATAAACCTCAAATTTACTGAACAAGTCCCCCAGAATTCACCATGGTTCTACTTGATCTTTTCACACCAAACCAAGAATTCAGTAGGCCTATATTTAAGTGCCTTATTTTTTTTTTTTACATAAGGGACAACATAGCTGTTGGTCCAAACTAGAAAGGTCTCAATGATGGGGGACAAGCAGGGAGAATTCCCAAGGAATGTTTTTTTTTTTTTTTATAAGCAGCCAACCATACTCCCAGTTTGCCAAAAGTGTCATAGCTTTTTAGCTAACACTTTGCAGCTTTATTTTGGAAAGGGGTCAATGCCTGATACAGAACATGCCATGGTATGAACACTGCCACTTAAAGTGCTATGTTGCTGTCAAGGACACAGGCAGTAACAGGCTACTGCTTAATAAAGCAGAGCACTTAATTAGGTGTTAGTATGACAAATAAGAAAGGTTGCATTATCTCAGCCAGCCCTATTGTGTATTGAGAAAGCAGAAGTGTTTCATGGGGAGAAGACTTTTCAGAGCTAAGGAAATCCATGAGGAGTTCTGAGCTTCTTTCCACATTCCCCTTTTTTATTGCTAGAGCTTGGCCTCTTCCTACCTTAGTGACGGCTGCAGGTTCAGGTGTTACTAATAAAGAAATGCCTCCTGGATGATTTTAAAGAAGCTGTGACTGTAAACAGTAAGTTTGTCTTTTTCCTCTCTTCTAAGTTTTCTCTAATGTGGAGGCAAGTAAGAGTTTGAAGTTGTGTTCACTGTACTTCAGCAGAGTCCCACAGGCACAGCAAGGGGCATGCAAGGGCAACATTGGGAAGAAAAGGTACCTGGAGTTCTACAGGGGAGCAGGGAATTGCCCTTCATACCTCATAACATTATCATCAATCTGCATAAGTGATGTTGCTGTATAGAGCTTGCCCAGATCAGCTTCTGACAGGCTATGTGGCTTCTTCATGTTATCTCCAAAAAGAGCTTGCCTGGAAGAGTGACATCAAGAATTACATCCAAATAACACAAGGGCAGCAAAACCACGACCTGTTCAAGGACAACTGAGTTTACCAAATCTGACAAGATAAGATTAGAAGTGGGTTATATAAACATGAGGCTTCCTTGGGACCAAGAGCAGCTTGTTTGTCCACTTACCTTAGCAGCAAGACATAACAAACCCCAGAAGCCTCTTCATAGGAAAAAATGTTTCCCTTATCTACTGAAAAATTGCATGAGGGGGCCCTCCTAAAAGAAACTTCCCAGAACAGAAGGCACTAAGGGTATTTGGACTTGAGGCTACATGTTAGAGGGAGAGATTTTTGGCTTCAGATGAAACCTGTGGGTAGTCTGGGTGAGAGCACCAGCAATGCTGGGCACAGCATCTCCTGCATCACCTGGTTCTAAAGTCCCAGCACAGACTTCTGGCTACTACACACAGAAATTACTCAGGGTATTCCCTTAGCAGAAAGCTTTTACTATGGACACTTGTCATAGCTGGTTATTGCCCTCAGGGAAGGATGCGTTTCTTTACCAGAACGAACTTCTTCCCAAACTAACAGAACAAAGGCCACAAGTTGGAAAGGGGTTTTTATTCCCTTTGAGAGGCAGCTGCAGGGCAGGCTAGGTTTGATTTGGGCAAGGTAGAGCACGTGATTCAAGTGATTATGGAAAAAGTTTGCTTAACACACTTCCTTTCAAATCAGCACCAGTCTTTTGTGGGTTAAGAATTTAAGCACCGTTTAATGGGAGCTTACCTAACTTCACTTGTCAAATTTGTTCAAGTTGTCTAAATATTTGTAAACCTGGAATGAATTACGTGGATCATCCTACACTGGCCACCCTCCTTCTACAAGTGTTTCATACTGCACAGGAGTGTAAACACAGAACCAGAAGTCTGAAGTGATACATGCTCCTTCAATGAAATAGGCCTTAAGATATTCCCCTCCTTTCTCTTCAGTCAGGCCAATTCCAATACAGCCGAGGTATTTTCTTGCCTACCAAGTACCACCCAGAGAACTTTTGATGGGGAAAACACCAACATGAGCATGTCACCTGTTTAGCACACAAATTTCTTTTGTTATGCAAGAGCCACGGATCAGCAAGAGCAGCACAAGGATCCTACAGCACTCCAGGAACAGCAATGTTAAGCGTTTTGCTGGCTACATGCTCTTTCTAGAGGAACAGCTAGAAGCCAGAGCTACAGGTTTGACTATTTGCTTATTTGATATGCAGCAACTCCATACAGCAGATCTGGAAGATTAGTCCTACCTCAGGTAGGTGGCAGAACAAGAGGCTCCTTCAATAGGGAATTCTTTGGCTAGAAGTAAAACAGATGCAGAGTACTCCACTTTGAAGTCTAATTGCAATGTTTTCCTGTGCATGTCTTGTTTATTCTTTTAATAAGTTTCCACAAAACACAAGGAGACAACAATGTCTTCCTCCTAACAAAATGGCCAAAGCTTGTTTGTCTATTTTACAGTATAATGAGATTGACAGGGGCTCACCACCTCTGTTGATTCATCTAAAGATCTATCAAGGAACTTGTGCTAAACCTGTCAGGAGTCCTATTTTAAAGGACCAGGCAGACAAATCCAATACTGCAATCGACCCAATCAATACTGTCAGTGTGAATGATGTACTGCAGTACCTGTGAGAAAGAATGATCTTCTTCATGTTATCTGCCATGAGGAAGTTATAAAATCTTCTGCAATGATCCCACTGCATGAAGGTTTCCTGTGCCCTAGAAAAAACACAGCAGAACAAACAAAGCTGTTAATGGAGCCCTTGAAAGATCAGATTAATACACTGTTAACATCTTATGGCAGCCTGGGGGCTGTGTAAACAAACCTCCAGGCCTTCTCTGCCACAGCTTAACCTTTTCCAGGAAATGACTTCCACTTTGATGAAGTCTGTTAGTATCAGAAAACAGATCTGCAGTCTCATCTTGCACAATACAATTAGCAGTTTTGATCAGAGCATTTAGGAGCCATCAATCAAGATCCATAACACTGACAAGAGGATTTTAGTATCCCTTTGCAGAAGTTGAATGTAATTTACATAATGGGACTTTCAAGGAAAGGGCTAAAACCTGTTGCTCAACAGTGTTGTCTATTGTGTAATACAGCTCTGCAGAGGAAACAATTTGTGCAGATGTTTCCAATATATACAGATACTATTATTGTTTCAGTTCATTGGCAGGAACTGTAGGAATAAATACTAGCTGCAGCTGCAAGTGGCATCTCAGTTGAAGTCTTTACCTATTCTCAAAGCAGAAGAGCACTTCATAGCTTATCTGTTGTTAAAACAGAATTTAAGCCATCCAGAGTTGTGTGAGCTCTGGCAGACACCAGCACTGCTTTGCTATGCAGGGTCATGGGCAGGTTAGAGCTTTACTCCTAGCAGGGTTTGCTGTTGCTGAGGGAACACACTATCATTTGCTGAGAGACTCAAGAATGCTGGGAGCAGCTTCAGCTACTGAAGCTCTCTTACCACTTAAACATTAACATACCATGAGAACTACTGTAGATTTAGCATGACCTTCCAAGCTACAGCTTGCAAGTCCCCTGCCAGGCAGGAACAAACTGTTTTCTTGTAATTAGCCATGTTGGAGAGTATGGATTTTAAAAAAAAGAAAAATCCATTATCTTTTTGTCTAGCCAGGTTATACCTACCACACTTATGCCAGGGCAGGGGAATGAAAGAAGACTGGAAAATGCACATTTCTTTCTTCACAAAAGGTTTTCCAAGCAAATCTATTAAGTTATCACAAGATGTTTGAAGTTGAAGCTACTACATTTCCCTGCAGTTCCTGTGGTGTACAGCAGTTCTCCTAATATGAAGAGTTGCAAGCATTAAAAAAAACCCCACAGGCAGCTTTCAGTATTGTGAGGACTGCCCAGGTTTCAGAGCTGAGGTCTCTCCCCACAGCCTGGAGCTATGATGAAGATGCATTCCACAAGATCAAGAAGCAGAATCAAGCCTATGCAGGCAGAGATTAAGGAATAAGGAGACCTGTCCCTGTTTAGCCTCAGGGAACACATTCCCTAGCCTGTGTTAATTCATTAAAGATCTCATTGTTCTGGCAGGTCCTAGTATTGCTGCTGCTCTGCAAAGGCTTTACTATTTGAAACATTTGGTTCACCTTGCTCACTAATTTTTTTTTCCTTTGCTTATGAAAGTTATTTGGGGAATAAATGCTGGCAAGCCAATATTAAAAAAAAAAAGAACTGTAAATTAAACTGGTTATGTTACCAGGGTAATCCACTTCCATGTAGCCCTGAAGGCTGAAGCCAGCTATTTTCATGTACCAGACCAAGCCCAGGAAGGCAGTGGCTTCACCATTCTACCTGGAAGTGCTTTACACTTCCTCCCTCCCACTTCTATAACCAGGGCACAAGGCACCCCCTCCTCCTGCCCTTTGCCCAGTAGATGTTGCTTCCCTCTGGTTCTTCAGCTAATTAGCACTTACAGCAGATGTGGGTATTAGGAAGGGAGACAAAAGACCTGAAATCCTTCCCACTGGCTGTCCAGTAATACAGAGCAGATGTTTTGTGGCAGGAGCTTTGCTAGGAGATGTTTACCCAGCAGGTGGAGGCAAGAGCTCAATAATCCACACAGCCCACACCATGGGGTGCATTAAACTCAGGGGGAAAAAACCCAGTGAGTTGTTTTTCCACACAAATATCCAAGTGGAGAATTGTTAATCAGGTTGTCCTTGCCATGCAAGCATAATAGCATTACTCACAACAGCATTGTGGAGATCAGGAATACAATATTGCATAACTGTAGAAGATGAACCAAGTGGACCTCAGCCAGATATCCCTGCAAACCCTCTCTGATGGTTGCAATTAAGGAGCTGGCTTCAAAAGGATGCTCTGTGCTCTATGCCAGAATCCCAGGACAGCTAAGAACATTTTACTTGAAACAAAACAGAACAGCTGTTCCTGTAGCATCTGTTCAGATTTTGAGGGTGTGAACTAGCAGCAGATTATACACTTTTTTAGCAGTAGTCACATCTGACCTCGAAAGGGATTAGATAGCAAGAATATTACAAGCATATCAAGCTTTTACTGACATCTTAGTGCTTCCAGAAAAGCTTTTTGCTTTTACCTGTAAGAGCCCAATTTATAAAAGGTGTCTTCAGGCTGCTGAATAACAAACTGGCCCCTACACAGACAGGGCATCATCAGCATCAAGAGTTCCAGCTACCCTGACCAGGCTGTGAGGCTGAATTGCATAGCAAGCCCCTCACAGACCTGCTACAGTTTCACCATTCATATCAGCCCAAGGGATTATGACTCAAATACCTGAGTTCTAACAGTCCCTTTTGGCTTGTAGGTAGTCTCACAGCTCAAAACTGCAAGTAAATTACTGCAGAGTCAGCTGCACCTTAGTAATTGTCCATATGTACAGACAGTAAAAACTGAAAACAGCAGTTTAGCCAGTTACAGAGTTTAAATCTCCATTACCTGTGCATACATGGAAAGGTTAAAGTGCATTAGTTGAGTCCAGTTTTCAAGCAGCACTGCTGTGCCTGGACCCTCCATCAGCACATGCAAGTGAAGTCATCACAGCTCCTAAGTGCCACAACCTTGTCTTCCAGGTGGGGAAACATGAATGTTTTCATGCTTAAGGGCTGTAATACTTTTCCACCCCACCTTCCCAGTCCTATAACACATCTGTGAGCACCTCTCCATCCCTTGATCACCCACAGCACTGTTTCAGTGACAAACACCAAGAAAGGAGCATAGACTGACAGAGTCTGTGCTGTGCCTTTCCAGTCTCCCTGGGTAAGAGCTGCCAGATGAAACTGCACACTGAGGCCAAACAAGCTATTACAAACCATGGGATATTTCTCAGAGTGATGAGACAGTGTAAACTATTGCTTGCAGACCTGGCAGCAGCTCAGCAGCTGCTCAGGCTGCCCAGCCTGCCTGGTTAATTACACCAGGATTGCACAGGGAATGCCTCCTCTTCACTCTAGCCATGAGACAGCATCACATGCACAGACCAGAAGCTGCCAGCATGTACCTGGACAGGTACACAAAACCTGTTTGCACTGCTGACCAAGTTTACTTGTGCTTGCAAATCAGCAGAGCTTCAGGTGCTCCTTCAGGAGGGTGTTATCCTACACAGTCCGTCAGACCAGTTCATGCAACAGAAACACCCATCTTCACCTTGCCCTTCCAGAGATCTGCTCCCTCCTGCACTTCCAGAAGAGAGGAGCACAGAGAAAGCTCCAGACCCACCTGAGTGCGCTGTACCCCTGGCACAAGCTGACACAGCACAGCACTCGCTCCTGGTTGGCCTGGCTCTCTCCCAGGTATTTGCACACTATGTTTCCACCCAGGCTGAAGCCCACAACAATCAGCTGGGTCTGAGGGTAGGTCTTCTTGATGTAATTCACCATGGCACCAAATTCCCAGGTGCATCCTAAAAAGAAGAACAAAGTTTAAAAAAATCATCTAATATATTTAAATTCTCATTTGAAGCCTCAGTTGCTTTGAATTCAGCTTCTTACCCTTTCTGACTTTTCAATAGCCTTAAGGTTTTAACAGCTCTGATTCACATGTGTTCATACATCTGTGAGTCCTGTGGAGCTTAGCTCATGCTTAAAGCAAGTGCCAAAGCAAGATGAAATTTAGTTGCTTAAAAATCACGGTGACAGTTAACATGACAATCAAAACGCTTTGTTTCTAAAACAGCTTTAAAAAGCAGAGTCCAGCAACTCTGGGCTTGACATTACCATGCAAGAACAGCACACATCATTGCTTTCCTGAGGCAGTTTGCCACTTCTAAAGTGAAGTGAGGTATTTGGAATGCAGTTTCCTCCTTTGTTTTTAAGCAAGACGATATGGATCCCTAAATCCACACTGCTGTGGGGAGGGGAAAGGAGTGGCTTGTCAGGAAGAGCTCCCAGCAGACTGCTGCAGAGCCTGACTAAGCAGGTGATCTCTGGAATCAGGGAGAAGGGTTTAAGCTGAGATATTCAACCCTTTGTAGCCAGTGAAAAGGTAAAGATACTGCAGCTCCCTGAAAGACACATGGGTATCCCCACATGAAGAGAATAGTTAAGTGTCTCTATAGAGATCTGTTCCGCTGTCAGTAAACACCCACTTGCATCCCACAGGCACTGAGGGATCCAGTTTCTGGCAGTGCTGGCATCCTCCAACTGTTTGACAGACTTGAAGGCCTCCACACATACAACAATGTGAGTACCTACAAGTATTTCTCCTGCTTGTGAGTATGGGAAAAGGAGATATGGAGCAGCAGCTGCAATAGTGATGGCGTTAGTACACTGGTTTCAAGTGTTTATGCAGCTTGTTAACCTTCCCTTTGGATTTAAGGCTGCAAACCACAGGAGGCATCACATGGACAACAGAAATAGAATTCCAGATGTTTCTTCTTGTCCAGAGTCAGAAACTCAGCTCTATTCTGTGGAACTCATCCAGAGAGATAAATCCTAGGATTCCAGCATTCCATCCTGTACTAACCTAACACTGCTCCACTGCATCCCCACCCCATCTGTAGCATCCTCAGTGGACAGACTCCAACTTAACCTAGCTCTGGAGTAAACCCTGAGCACCAGAGCTTGTTTGCTTCAGTGCAACAGCAAGCTCCTGTCTGAGTGTTTCAGCAGGGCTTGGGCACTTCCTTGTGAACATTTTTAATGAACAACCTTCAAGATAAACTCTGCACTGCTCTGGTTTCCTCTGGAAGAAGCCAGCGGTCAAAGTACTTGAGTGTTTGACCTTCATGATTTCAGGGCAGCTCAAAAATCCAAAACTATAAAATCAACAGGTCAAGCTTGATATGGAGGCTGGGATTCAACAAATCCCAAATTTAGGCTACTTGTTCCTCAGCAAGCATGCATGGAACACAGCAAAGCTGAAAGGGCACTGAGTTATTTGGGTAAGAGGCAGAGTAAAGTCTAGTGGACTTGCTGGCACGTTACTTCAGAAGCAACTCTGCCAAGTGATTTACTGGCTTACTCAAAGGAAGTGCTAGTCATTCTTTGCCCTTTCCAGGGCTATAAAAGATTCAGAAAGGTATGTCCCAAGAGATGCACTACAGAATAGCATCCTAAGGCCTAAAGTAAAGCTTCATGAAAGCAAACTCTTAACTTCTATCAAAACAGCAAATGCATTAAAATTTAGTTTTCAAGACATGGTAGTCTTGCAGCCATAAGAGCCCAGGGTCTCACTACAAATGAGGGTGTTTGGTATTCCTGAAGTGTTTCCCAAAGAGGAGTATATTTAATAATTCTAAAACAAGCAACAAAGCATTATTATTTGCCTGCCAGACTTTGGCATCTTGAAGCACAGTATTTCTGTTTTGACAGTTTAAGTGTTCAAGATAACTATTCCGTTAATCCAAAATCTAAGCAGTAGTGCAGCTAACTTTAAAAAATAAATCCTAAAGTCTGCTAAACACAGAATTGACAGGGTGCCTATAGATACTTACAGTAAAGAGGGAGATGAGGGCTCAAGAGAGCTCAGGAACAAGCAGATTAGGTCACAGGCAAAGAGGCCCCATTCTACAAGGATCACATTACTCACCAAAAGGGCAATTAAGGCTGGAGTCACCCTTCACACAGTTTCAGATCATTTATTCCTTTTAATTTCTAGGTTAAGAAAGACTTCCTTATACTCAAGGTGAGAGTATGCCATAATCATGGCAGTTAAGCACAACCCACTTCTGTAGTTTTACTGTCACACTCCTGTACTCTTGCTGTTGTTGACTTGTGTTACATCCAAGAGCAAATCCTCACATGAACCCCCTAAGATATAAATGTACTTTCTGGATAGGCTGGTACAAACTCCTCTCAGGCTGTATTTTACAAAGCCTCAGAAGTGGCATTTATCCTTCAGAGACGTGTTTGTTTCACATTCCATCAAACTGGCAAATTCAGTATCACTAAAATCATTTGAATAGGCTCTGGGTAGGCACAAAAGGGCTTTTTTCCCAAAAATTTTTCTTACAAAAAACTGCTTCCTTGATGAGACTACATGTGTAAAAGCTTGCAGAAGAGACAAAAGTGAATTTAGTATTAGCCTCCTCTCTTCCTACCATGTAAATTCAGTTTAGTTCTTAAGAAACAGTACAAAACTGTTTTACCCCCACTGAGGTACAGCAGTTCTGTTATTCTGGAGGAGGCTGATCAATCCCTAGAAGTTCCATGAGGCTGAAAATAAATTGCCCAGGTGCCATGAAGTACCTACCATAGGTAAACATCCGTGGTGAAGTGAGCTCAATGTTTGGCAGGGCTCCCAGGTGATTGAGCACAGCACATCTGTAGCCATTTTTCTGGGCATAGTCAACAAAGGTGCGGATGTACTGCTTCTCACTGTGGTTGGCAATCCCTGGGCAGATCACCATTGTGACATCCTCTGTGTTCAGAAAGAGAGGGAAGTTCAGCAAATGTCACTTCATGCAAATTAAGAGAGTCAGAAGGTTTCCATTTCAGATCCGTGGGAAACCACCCACCACAAGCAAGCTAGAATTCCTACCAGTCTGCCAAAAATCCTGTATGGGACAGGAGACCAGCAGCTCTAGTGCTTCAGATGGGAAAAAGTCATTCATGCTATGGGAGAGGAACAGTTTTTAGCTTCAGGGAAAGCTGTGCAAACAGTCCTCCAGGCACTGATGAGAGACCCAGAGTACATTCTTCTGTCTGAAGGACATTTTTGATGCTACACATGTTCTGCCTTCTGACAGCCTGTTGTGACTGCAACGTGCGTGGAAGCTGTGAAGCCCAGCACTCCAAGGAGATTGGTTATGCTATTTCTCCCTCATTTCCCCTCTAGAGCTGGGTGTAATGCAGATTTTCCAAATGCAGCTCTGCTAAGCACAGACATTCTGATCAGCTGACATTAACCATCATCTACTTTGTGGCTAATCTAATGATATTTGATCTGCTGACACTGTTCACTAGTTTAACAAGATATCATTTCATCAACCAAGAAAGTAATTGCTGTAATTCAAGTAAGCACAGTAAATTACATTCAGGATTATCATATGCACTTCAAATTAACTGTAACTCTCTTGTGCAAAGCTCCAACATTACCAGCTCTAGCCACTGAATTTTTATCTCATTAGAAAAGCACTGCTCACAGCAATAAAGATAACACTAACTGTCCTAGTGCAGCACTGTACCATGAAGATCTCAACACTGCCAGTTTAAAAAGAGAAATCTGCTTTTTCTGAGGGCCAAATGGGAGTCACAGGCATCTGTAGATGAGGGACAGAGCACACAGTCAAGGTTAGCAGCTAGATGCAGGGAGCAGCTGTTGGACTGACCTCCAGTGCAGTGCTCAGAGCGTGGCTCAAAGAGATCAAAGGTGGCTGTTGCTCCATCTGGCATGGTCAGGTACTTGCGATGTCCATTTGGATGTGGTGATCTCACTCTCCCCATTTTTCCATAAAGAGCTGTCTGGATATGCCCACTCTTTCCCCAGATGAGGGGTGGAATGTACCTGAAAGGCAGTAATTGATTGCTTACCCCTGCTGTGTTAACAAGCCCTTGAGAACACATCAGCACTCCCATAACAAATCTCACCAGCTCCCAAATAGAGCAACAAATATGGAATTGCTTTTGCTCTGACTCAAATGGCAGCAGTGATCTTTGCAGCCTTACACAAGGGGAGAGACCAAAACACTCTCCAAGCTGAAAAATCAGCACTCATAGCAGCAGCAGGAGCCAAACCCCAGACATTCCCTATATTGAGATGTTAGAGGAACAAATGCTTCTCACTAAATACACAGAGGCCTTGTGTCTGGGTGAGATTGAGAGTGCATGTTGCCAACCAACCACAGCGACCTCCAGAATTGTACAGTGCTGTAAATCTGTTTTAATTGAAACACTGAAGCCTCCTGGGTTGAGCCACATGAACCTGTGTAAGCACTTGACTGTACAAGCCAGTGGCACAAACAACAGGATTCACACCGAGTTCCAGAAAAGGGAAAGCCCCAAGACTTGCTGGTTGGGACCATTTTACACAGAACTGTTTGTTTTACTAAGTTAAGCAAAGAGCACAGTACAGGCTGATTTTGCCTTTCAGAATTAGGTAAAAGTTGGGACAGTGTTAAGAGAATCAGTCAGAACTGACCAAACTTCACTGAGTAACAAATCCCTTTCAGTAAGAGGGGTGAGTCTACCAATTACTTATGCTTATCAAGGGTATATTTAAAGCTATGTGACAAAGCAGATTGTCTCTCTTTTCCTGGCTTACAGGGCCTCAAAAAAGATATGTGAGAAACATTGCTATGAGCTGGAAAGTATTAAAGGCTTAGTTATCAGATTTTTTTAGCACAAGCAGAACTGCAAGTGGTTTAACAGGAAACATACTGTGCCCTAGCACCACCACCATGTGGGCAAGTCACCTGGTCACTCTAAGGAGACTGAGCCAATGCCTTGAAAAAGAGAGTTACATCAGCTCTCAACAGGAAAGCATGAATGATTTATTGTTGAGGAGAACAGCCGTCCCAAGGAACACACTTCCAATTAAAGAACTGTGGTCTCTGGTGCACAGACCAGGGTACCCAGAGGAAGCTTGAGAGCTTCTGACTTCACCTTGGATCCTGAGGGATTAGCAACGCCCTCCCTGTTGTGTTTAGGGCTTGTGTTTAGGGCTTCCTGCAATTATTCCTTTTCACTTTGAGAGAGCTTATGAAGCAGAGATCGTGTTCTTCTGTGTTCACAAAAAACCTAGGCAGCTCAGCACACAAATTTACTGCTTAAGCCCATAATCCACTAGAATGTGACAGAAACCCTACCTCTGTGCTCTGACACTCCCTCTTCATACAGCTGGACCTTTCCCCATGCCAGTGCTTATGTGTCATATCCGCAACTCCCTCCTCCCCCAGACGCCATAAAAATGCTTCCTATCAAATAAAAACCACTTGGGGTTGTTTAGCAAGACAAAAGCAGCAGTATGGCCACTTTCTCCCCATGCTTTTCCCTCATCTATGAGGGGGACTTCTTACAGTCAAAGCTTCAGCATGAGTAATGTGCATAGCACTCTGATGCAGAGATTTGTAACCCCTACTGAGGCATTAGACATATTTCTAGTTTGCTCTAGAAATAAGTTTTAAAGCAGCTGAAGCTCTGAAATACATGCAAATGTTCAGGCAGAAGCTTTTTATCTCACCAGTCTTTTTGTTTAGGCCCATCAGCCTTTAAGCAACAGACTTGTGAAGCAAAATACATTCCTTAATCCAGGCTCAGGACACTGAGCACGACGACACTTTAACAGCGAAAGGGAAGGAAGCTGCCCAGATAGCACAGATCTTGTATTATCAGTGGAAAAACTAAGACAGATTAGAATTTACCTTACCAGATTGATGCAAAACCAGGCAGCTAATAAAAATATTATTTCTGTTTACCAAGCCAATTTAACCTACTACAAAACCCTGTAAAGCCTTTACAGTAAGAGTGATTCCTCTCTTTTACTGAATTCAGGTAAAATCTGTTCTCAGCTGAGGACAAGGTACCCTTATAATCTATAGCAGAATCAGACATATGATCTGCTTGTCACACTATTTCTGTTGACCCTCCATTTTGCCAATGGGCAAATCTATTTTTGAAATCTTCATGTGACTTTTATGTCTCTTGCTGAGACAAAATCTACAAGAACTTCCAAGAGCAAGTACTGTGCCTAATGATGCAAGACTGCACAAGGCTGAAGGATAGTTCATCTTTTTATACAGGGTTTGTGTGGACTTTCAGCTTTCTTTTACTAAACCCACTGAAAGAAGAAAGTATGGAAAGAACTCTTCAGTCCTGAAGGTACATGATGCCACACTGGTGAGGGAGAAAACTTGCCAGGAATTGTGCAAAAGCCTTTCTCCGCTGTAAGGACAGATCAGATCAATTTTATTTAAGCCTATCATGTGAAAAGCAGCTCCAAAGACATTCCTATCCTCAACTCAGCTGAAAAAACCTAACTACCCAGTGCTGATAGCAAGAGCTAGAACAGATTGTTTTGTAGTGAAGTTAACATTCCTCCGGGCAAACAGCTGAAAAAAGATGCTTCTCCAAAACAACCATCCTGCAGACAGAAGAGCATGTACTCAGGGCATTGTTCCTGTGGTTTACCTTAAGAAAACAAGCTCAGCAAGATGCAACACAACCATGCAGACTGAGCAACTGAGTATTCAGTCTAAGGGGCATTTGAATACTGCCCTTCACATTTTATGCTAAAACTATAATTACTGCTAAATTTAACCATGTCTTCCAAACAAGAGCCCTTCACTCAAAAGCAGGTAGCTTTCCTCCAGCATTCATAACAAGTAGAAACAAGGAAAGCACTCAAGGACACAGCAGATTTTCAACTCCTTCCTCTCTGTCTGCTATAAGCTGAAATGCTTCTGAAAAGCAGTGTGCTGCAGAGATTATTCCAGCACAGCACAGAGATGGTTCAGTACATATTGCTCCGTGTCCTGCTCCAGAGAAGCTGCTCCCAGATGTACAAAAACCCAGGAACAAACACCATGTCCCATAAGCAGCATTTCCACTGTTATGCAATAGTGGCTGATGGTGACAGGAGCAGTGAACACCAGCCAGGAGGACCTCTTGCCAAGGCCTCCACATGAGGACAAGGACTGCATAACACCACAACCCAGACAAGCACGTGCTGATAAAAAAAATTCCAAGGGAAAAGTTGCGTTGTACCAAAAATGGAGATTTTTATTTCTGTGAACCAAAAATGGCTCCTGAGCTTTCCCCAGACACAAAGACTTTTTAACTGGTTCATTTCCCTGTTTTGGTCAGTTGCAATAGATAGCAGGCACCCTGAATCATGATAAATATTTAAAGCAGTTATGTCTTCCAGTAAGCAGCCCTGTAGCTTCCAGTAACTCTATAACAGAAGGCAGAGAGAACAGGCCTGGAGATGACATTTACTCATTATGGAAGGTCACTTACATGGCCCAGCAAGTATAGAGTTCACCACTCCTAAGTGGCTAAGTGAATTCACAGCCAGTTACATAAATCTGCTCACCAGTGTCAGTGTTTGAGCTCCAAACCTGCATTCCAGCTGTGCAGCACAGCCTCACATCTTGATAGGTGGCTGCCCACAGTGCTCAAGAAGAAGACAACTCTTCAGTTTTCCCAAAAAATTTATCCTGGCATTTTAATATTTAAAACAATTCCAACATGTGATTATAGATTAAATTTAGTGGCTCTCAGGCAGTAGATTATCATTTTAAAGCACATACATAATCCAGTATGCAGGAATTTAGGAAAGCAGCAGCTGTATAAGCAGCTCACACAAAGTACATAAAAACTGTGCTATTTTTATTAGCAGGCATCAGCATTCAGGTCCTCAAAGATGTGAAGTGGAAGTTCAGCAACAGGCTTATTTCTGGTGCATTGCTTCATTTCATCTGAGGAGATTAACACTTTAAACATTAACTCTTACATGGCCTTTATGTGCACACTGGATACTGATGGTGAGAAAACAGTCTACAAATTGTCAATGTCAAGATATTCTAAGAACTTTTGCTTGCATTACAACAGGTAAGAAATTATTTTCCCCTTTACAGAGCAGTTTGGAGGTATTTAAAGAATGCTTTACAAAATCAAACTTTGATCCTTGTCCTTTATTTGATGCTAGGGAATGCAAATTAAATTCCAATCAAGAAAACACTCAGAAAAGTCTGCAGGGTTCAGCCCTTGATCCCAAATATGTAGAAAGCAGCTTTTTCTGCATCAGCTCAGCTAGACTGCTCAGTGCGATGAGGACACAGCAAAAAAAATTGCAACAAAAATTTTTAAGCAAGTTATGGAGCTTCTACATTCCCTGAGTCTCAAAAAAGAAAAATGGAGTAGAAGTGTTTGTCTGCTGCCCACAGTACCTGTGTGAAGTCAGAACTATTTAAAAGTACTGACTGACCCCTTGGCTAAACCACCTCCTTCACCATTTAAGAAGCTTTTATTTAGCAAAGAGCCCATCACACCCCTCCTCCCCCACTAAAATACAAGAAGTATTTTAGTCAAAACAAGGCATGAGGATTTACAGCACTTCAAATCTCCCTTGCTGATAAGAGCTGGAGAACACAAGGCTTCTGCCAATACCACAGCACCCAGCAAAAACTCAGACCCCCGAGGCTGCTTCCTCTGCAAGGTCAAAGCTTGAACTTACCAACAGGGAGCTGCCATTCTCCTCTACCTCTCAGCATGTTCACTTGCCAAAGCTTCAGGGGTAATACTGTTCTTCTAGTTTATTATTCTCCTGGAAGTGTTCCTCCCAGAGTAAAACACCTAGGAGTTGACAGGGATCAAACACTGCTTTGCTATTAGGGGGAAGAAAAGAGCACTGAAAAGCTTGAAGACAGGTTTTCTGACTACTCATCTCCTTGCATCTATGAGAAAAGCAGTGACAGTGTAAAAGAGTCTTCTGGTACCAGGCAGCCTGCTCACCCAGCATAGGTTGGTGTGCAAACAAAGGATAAGAAGGATGTAGACTGGATCTTTGACAGTGTTTACTAACAGGCTTGACAGTCATTTGCCTCAATCTTTGAGGAGCTTGCCTTTACTGATGATAAAAAGTGTGCAGACAGCAAGGATAATTATTTTCGATACGGATGGCACGTGCCACATCTCTACAGAAATAAAGATACCCACACTTTGTTAGAATAAACTGTAAACAGCCAAAAATGTCTAACCTAGCACAGCACGCACTGGCCAATTTACCCTCATGAATCAAAGAGCCAGCACTGCATTTCTACAGGAATAAGAGCAGATGAAGGACTTTCTGTACCCTTTTGAAAGGCAGGAAAAGGACACAGCTGCCACCAGCAGATGGGCCCAAGTGCTCAAGGGCACCAATAGCTGTGCTGAATGGCAAGAGCTTCCATATAAGAAGCAGCAATTTGAATGGAAAAGCCTGATTATGGTACTTCACTTGGTAAGCCAAAGTACAGAGCTGGACAGGGTCAGAGCAATGGAAAAAGGGGTAAGAGAATATGAGCTCTAGGAAGACAGATTCTCTTGCTTCCCAATGTTTGGCAGATACGTAGAAGGTTTCTGGCAGTTTACAGAACTGTAAAAACCAGTACTAACATCTACAAGTACAAGGTACCCGGCACACAGCCATCTCAGGCAGTTTTACAATTCAAAGTTCTTAAATTATTCATCCACCACCACTTGGCTTACTGAATGACACCACAGTTACAATGCACTGAATTAGACCAGAGGGGAGGATTGCGCCATAAAGGGAAAATAAAGTCCAAAAGTGTTTACTCTAGGAATTTTTAAACACCTGCATAGATAGCAGAAATAAAGTTATTCTTTCTCCCTGCCAGCCTGTTTTTCATAGCAATGTCCTCACCCCTTCCTCCCTTAGGCAGGAGCTGAACAAGCCAGGTCTGAAAGTCAGCTCACAGCTATGAACATTCCTCTGCACCAAAGAATTGGTCTTAAAACAGATTTGACAACAAACCCAGTACTAATAGAAGGGATTGCTGGGCTACTTATTTTGCTTTCATGGTAGAATCTGAAAAGAGCTGCTTAATCAGCTTTCCTAACACTCTGAATAATTAGCAAGTAATCAAAGCCTTGCAAGATTTTTTGGTGGAGTACTGCACAAGCTGTTTTCACATAGCTTTTTCCTAATTATCCTACAAACAGTTTCATGCATAATTGCAGGAATTTAAATACATTTGTTTCCCTGTAGTCTCCAGGTGACTTTTATGCCTAAAGACAGGATTTCTTTGATTTTTAAAAAATTCCTACATTGAAAAAAAAAAGTTTGTGATAACATCACTAGAATAGTAAAAAGAAATAATCACATATACATCTTAGAGCTGTCTTTCCTGTAAACCCTTTCAATACCCAACAACAATTACATTCCTAACAGTGCTGTCTTCCTTAACAGAGATAGAGAGGTTAGAGGACTGAACAGTTACCTATTGACACATCTTGTTTGTTTCAGCTGAGTTTGGTTCCTTTTGTCATGGAAGTCTTTCAGACAATATTTTGCCCAAGAGCCAGGTACTGGAGAGGACTGCTACAATTTTCAGAGAAGCTGGCAAGCCTAAGCTCAGCTGATCCACAGAAAGCAAACAAATCAAACTTGCACACAACCAACACAACACCAGGGTTCTGCAAGCAGCTCACCACTCCTGCAATTAATGCGCAACAGATGCCTAAATACTGCCGGCCATGTTTTGCATTTTCACTCTTTTGGGAATGCTGTATTCTCCAACTGAAAGTCAATAACACAGCAGTGCTAGGAGCCTGTGCTGTGAGAACAGAGCTGAAATAGCAGGGAAATGGACTCTAAATTAGCTTACAATCCATTTCCAAAGACTAGCCTGATACCAATATGCCTTCAAGGCAGGTAATCAGCTTCATGCTTGCTCCTTCAGTGACTAGGGACATGTCATACTGGAGTACAACACTGGGATGGCAACTACCAGAAGTACCACGTAACTCAAACCCCCTCAAGGTATTTTTTAGGAAAGGAATTGCTTTGCATTTAAAGCAGTACACATAATCAAGAATACAAACACATTTATGTTATCACTAACATAATGGAGTACATCACAGAAACCTCTCTGGGTTCCAATTTCAACAGATAACAATGCTTTGTTTCCTCTAAAAGTTTACAGATCCCATGGCCTAACATCTTAAACCTTATGTAATCAAGGCACTGAACACAGCACTGCTAAAAGCCTCTCATCTCCCCTAAAATGACTATCCTTAAGTCAGCTTGACTTTTGAGATCCAAAAGGAAAGTTCATGCAGCTGCACTCAGCACTTACTATATAATTGATGTACTTAAAGCTTCTAAATAGGACTTGCAAGTTTTCAAAGTGATTGCAGAAGAGAAATACTGTAATCAAAGTCCTTGTCCCTCCAAAGCCTCATGAAATTGTACTAAATGCTTGCTATTATTGGAGAATGTTCTTGGTGAAGCTGAGGGCAGCTGCACTGATTCTGGGGGTCTTGGAATGGAAGATCAGGGATCAGCCTGCTCAAATACACAGCTGACACAAGGTCAATTTCAAAGTGCATTCAACAGGCTTGGAGCTGACCTCTATGTCATTACTTTATTAAACTAGTTAGGATGTGCTCTACCAGTAATAAATTTCATTAGTTTTCAATCAACTTGAAGTACTTCTGATAAGAGCAGGCACTTTAAAACTAATAGCCAACCCTGTGTTCATTATAAGGGCACTGACACACCATGAAAATGCTTCCCTCCTGTGAGCCCCAACAGACTCCTTCCCTAATAAAAAGGAGTACAAGATCATGAACAAGTGCTAACTGCATCCATCCCTCCCCTATTTGCACAGTGAGCTCTTGGTGCTGCTATAGTATAACATCAGCATACAGATGATATTCTGTATCTTCTTCTATAAAGATGGACAGTGATGACTTTTTCTATGTATCTGTGAAAGACTTCACACAACAAGGCTTGGTCAAATCCAGGTACCTGAGACGAAGAAATGCTAAAAAGATTTATTTTAGTAACCGTATACCCTGACATTCATTTGAACCCAAGTCTATGAAACACATGAGGAAGAATGGATAAATGCAGGTCTTCTTCCTATAATACAGGTCAGCATGGAAAAAATATACCACTTACTCTTTGGTCAGAAGTGGGCAGGATTTGAGTAGAAAGCGAGCCAAAGCTGAGTCCTGGTAAATGAGTTCAGGAGGGGCAGTGGGGCTTTTTAAATTCAAGCAGCGAACGATAACATACAGAACAGCAGCAACTGCAGCTAGCTTCACCCCATCAAACACTGCTGGCAGCTCAGAGGTTTCCAATATTGTACTCATTTTCAGCCTGCAGATAAAAAACAACATTACAGCTTCAAGAAATATAGCATTGGATATGAATATCAACTGTCATGTTAAATACACAAGTAGATTTGTCAGCCAACACTGCCAGGAAATCCTAGCATACCAACATCTGAGTTGGAAGAAAATTTAGTTAGTATTGTTCTAAACACCCAGACCAACAGAAGGAAAACTGGATGATCAGCTGTGAAGGAGATTTTTTCCTAATCAGTGCTGCCCTAGAACAGCACCAGTGTCTCAGGTATCAGCAGCCAGTCAATAAATGCAGGATCCTGGCCAAGACTAGCCAGGTCAAACAGGAGCTGGGTGAAAAGACAGGCTATAAAGGCACCTTGGCAGCTTTGGACATGTGTTCCTTCACAGGTGTCCAAGCCAGACTTGAAAAGGAGCACCTGAAAGAACTACTGTCAGCTCCTCAGCCTGAGTCTTGCAGTTCCATGAGAACACTGGTACTAAATCCTGCCTGCACTTAAGATGGCCACTTTATGTACTGGCATTTTCAGCATTTCTTTTTATTCACTGCAGTTCTGCAGCTGAAGGACTAGATGAATATCTAGTCTTCAGAGTAAAGGAACAGAAGCAAAGTAGTATAAAAAAATATATCCTTCCTGCTTGAAATCAAATTCTTAAACTGATCCAGCTTATTTTGAATATACAGTTCAAACAGCTGGCTGCATTTACTGGTGAAAGGACAGGTTTTTCCCTGGGTCTTTCCTAAGAAACATGGGTAACCCAAATAAGCTAAGTGACAAGCCAAGTCTTACCTATTTCAATTTTCTTCAAGCTAGAAAAAATTGCCAGTCCTCAGCAGACTTGTCACCGATCCACGTGCTGCCTGAGCTACCCTGTGGGGGGAAAGCAAATTGATTATTAATGATCAAGCTGCATTCCTCAGCTGGAAAGGATGAACACAAATTTATACAAAGGTACCATCACAGACATGGCAAGCTATTTATGTAAGTCATAACCAACTCTGATCCATCTGCACGTGAAATTCATTGAAAGTGGACAGACCCCAGACTAGCTCACTTGCCTACAGTGTTAACTCATCTGCAGTGTGCAAATGCAACTTCACGAGCAGAGAGACTCCATCCCTGCAAGGCAGCGAGACATTGTACTCAGAAAACCTACCCAAATCTGTTCCTATTTAAAGCACTAGGATTAGCAGGATACTCTTCTCTACTTTGCAGTATCCACAATGTTACTGAAGTGTGAAGCCAGTCTGAAAGAAGTTTCTGCTACTTTTATTCAAGATTAGCAAGGCAGCTCACTCCTACAGATGGAAGCTTGTAAACACTCTCTGCCTGTTCCCACACTTGCTTTTTGAGATGTTACAATATATCACACTTCACCACGGTGGGAGCCACAGGAGGCTCAGACACAGCCACCTAATTAACACCAGTGCACATGCAAGAAGGCTTGTTACAAGAACTTGATGCTGCCAATAAAAGAGAAAGCTCTTTCACAGCCTGTGCCCATACCAGTGTAAGCAATACTTGCCATTAGAACTGCCTTCCCACAGGCACAACAAATCGATGGGGACTCGGGGCTTCCAGGAAAAGCTCCAGAACTGTCTGCTCCCTACCACAGCTGCTGCTTCCAAATGGAAAAACACTACCAGCACACACCATACCAAAGCCTAACTCTCCTTTACAGCACGAGTAAAGGAGAGCAGTAAAGAGCCTCAGAAGTACTTTCTGTACTCAGTGCAGCTACATCAAAACCCCTTGGAAGCAAACACGTGTGACATCAGCTATTGACTAACAGCATGCTGGACAGCTTCAAGTTTCTGCCACCACAACCATCTGCACAGCAAAACAGATTGAGGGAAGCAGAGACATTTAATCTTAGACAACTCTTCAGCTCTTCTTTTCCAGTTCTGAGCAGCACCGCAGAAGTGAGAAGATGGGCCACAAAAAGCCTCCTATTCTTCTGCATGGGCATCATGAGAGGAGTGCCAGTACAATGTTTAGCTGCAGGATGTTATCTCACATCTCTGCTTGGTAATATTTCACCAACACTACCATCAGTTCTGTAGGAGACAACAGGCAAAATACAGCAATGGTTTCACCAGGGAAGGTACAACTGGCGGAAGAGCAGACCAGGTTCCTGAACTCAAGGACAACCAGGTGCTCAAGCAAATCTCCCTCATACCAAACTCCCAGAAGTTCCATTGACATCTTCCTGTCATTGTTTTATTCAGAAAGTTAAGAGGTACTAATACCTGAGACCATCCTGACACCTGGATTTTAAGCTAGTTTACTGTTTACAACTTTCACCTTAGTTAATTTTTAAAAATAAAACTGAGCACAATTAGTCATTAGGATTTTGTAACAGTGACTCAGTCTAATTAATCCAACTAAACCCTACCTCCCTTAAAATGTTCTCTCCCATTTGATCTTCAGATTACAAACACACCACATCTTTTCTCATACTTTTATATCTCATGTTAGCCTGTCACTCCCTTAAAACAGCATACAAGCTTGCCATTACTTTCAGAAAAATCAGCTGTTGGTAGGCAGGATTATGTTTGACACTTATGAACTAGTATTTTCCATTTTAGACAGTCTAAAGCACACATTCACAGAACTTACGCCACAAACATGTGCTAGAGGTTTATGTATTTGTCAAAATCTTTACCCAAAAGCTCAGATCAGCCTGTAGATGTAACACAAAGCTGGCACTGCTTCAATGGCACAGCTTTCTGCAGTGATTATTTCAGCAGTGGATGCAGCCCATGAAAACTCCATGCTCTGTGGATTCAGCTGTGTCACTTGAGGCACTTGCATTAAAGCCTGGTATTTCTGAAGACTCAAACACACCTGTCTCAGCCAGGGCAGATGTGCAAGGGCTGAGTCAAGCTCCAAAATTTCAAGGGTTTAGCTTACTAAAATGGATTTGAGCTTTGCCTCTAATCACCTAGGACAAATGTCTCCCTCTTTAACCAGCTGCGATGAGGTCACCTTGCTTCTGTTTTGTTAAACCCTTTTTGCATTGACCCAATAAATTTGTCTGTTTAAACAAAAAAAGACAGATAACCACAGGGTTGAGCCAGACAAATTTTAATCTAGAATCTCCCCTATCTGGGTCGCCATTAATCTAAGTGGACAAACATCTGGCTTTTTCCATATACAAAACATTGGATTGACTGCTAGGCAAAATTACCAAAAAGCACACCACTGGAAGCAATCTAGCCTGTCCATGCATCAAAGCATTTGAAATTAAGGAACCCAAGGAAGTTGAAGCTCTTGGCCTCAAGCATATTATTCTGAAGCATCCTAATTGCAGAATTCTTTTTTTTTTTTTTTAAACCACTTACAGGCATGACAGCCCCAAAGACCTGCAGGCCTCTCAAGCAAAGTTGTTAAATCCCAATTTTAACTGAGGGATAACTTTAAAATTAATCACTGGACAGTGAGTGCTGGATTTGTGACCTTGTCATATGCCCTTTCATCACAAAAAGCTGAAAATCATGTTACAGGAAAGATTTCAGCATTACTGTTAACAGAGTGCACATCATCTGTACAAGTATAATGAGAAAAAAAATCCCAAGTCTCACCCTTTCCAGACAGAAAGACACAAGTACAACAAAAGCCAGTAGAGCTACAGTAAATTCTTTATGTGGCCTTTCAAAAACACTGGGTTTTTGGGAAATCCATCATCAAAATATTTACTTGTTCAGTAAGTGAGTTCATAACTATCAACAAATCCAAGACCAGTACACATTTCAGTTTCTGGTTTCCTGTGGAGAGGAAACTTCCAGAGACAGAAGCCACTGTGACTCAACAGGGCACACACAGGATTTGGTAGCTACCAAGCTTTACAGCTCCTCCACCCACGAAAGCAGAGTCTGACTCTTCATACTGGAAAAGCAACACTAAAAAAGCAAAGATATTAAAGGGAGCCATTCCCACAGGATCCTCCCTCCTTTTAACAAGCCATTGAAAGCCTGGCAGACTCATTTCACTGAGGCATTAGAAATGCTTTGGGCTAATGCAAGGATGCAGCTTTATGGAACACAAAGAGCAAAGGGGCTGCACTAACAAGATGTGCTATTCTCCATTACATGGCCTGAAGAATCTGGAAGGAATGCCATTTCCAGGAAGGGCAGCTTGGTACAAAAGCCTTGTGGATGCCTCCCCACCCCTCAGCATTTGGGCTGCCTGGTGCTCTCAGAGCTCAGCTGGACACCACAACACTGGAAACAATGCCTGGCCAACAGCGAGGCTTTAACAATTCCCTATTCAGTTACAGCTTACCAAGCACAGTAATACCCACTAGGACTCAGAAGAGCCAGAGAGGCCATTTCTGACAGATATAAGCAGGCAGACTTTGTTAACTAACATATTCGACATTTCTCAGAGTGGCTTCATACATTTTAGTTTGGGAATAAAACCCTGAAAACAAGTATATCAGACAAGAGGAAAGCAAACCCACCCTACTTTAGAGTTGCACCTACGCAGACTGAGATGAGAAATAAGGTGGGGGTTTTTTCCCACCTTTTTAAGGAGGAAGGCTGAAGTTAGTTCTTTATGGAATGTTTCCAGGAAATTAACATCTTTAACATCAGCCAAAGCTAATGACCTTTCTGAAAGATACACTGCAAAACCAGAAGGTACAGGCTTGTCACTGCCAGGTAAGATATTTAGAACCACATTATGTGGAAAGGAACTTCATTAAGGAAAGGGTCAAAAGTAGAGCCCTGCATAGTTTTTTAAACAAAGACAAGTTTCGTGCCAGCATATTACTCAAATGTCACTCCAGGAAGTGCACAAAGTGTCACACTGCTGAGCTTTCAGCAGTTTAAATGCAGAGGATAATGTTTAGAAACCATGCAGACGAAGATGAAAATACTTGAGAAGGGCTCTGAAGCATGTGTCCTGATGGGAAAGGCTGCCATACTAAGCACTGGAGGACAAGTACAGAACCTGTGTAAGAGGACTCATGAGGAAAGCCTCAAGCTTTATTGCACAGTTCCAGATCCTTTTACCCAGCAGCTCTATAAAAAGTGCCTTTGTTTTCATGGGAAAATGTTAAGTCTAAACTGCTTTGTTCCCTGAAAACTACACAGGCACAAGTATTTTAGGGCCACACCAATACTATGCCTCATCAGCTTAGGCACAAAAAGCAAGTCATAACAGCATTTATCTTGAGACTGGCATCTACCCAGCCCAAGCTCACCCAGTGCAGAACCTCCCATTACCTTCAGCGTGGCTCAGAGAACACGTCAGAGGCAAATGCTGAGATCTTGATGCATCACTCAGTACTTCTGGCCATTTAAAAGAGCCAGCTAAGTCTCAGAGCACAGAGGGTATAATTAAGAATTAGCTGAGCACATAAGGCACTTAAGTTTAGGGTTAGATGTGGCCATGAGAGATAAAGTGCAGTCCTCAGGAGTTTGGCAAAGTCCACCACAGGTTTGTTGCCCAACATGTGACAGATTTCATCTCCAAAATAAAGAGGGCACACTGACATGCCCCATCATAAGGATGTTTAAAGAACACTATTTGGACAGCCTTTTGAAGTCCTCAGTGCAAATCCCTCCCTGGGCCAGGGCCATACCCAGGTCAGGATTTGGCTGGTTGGCAAGTACAGAAACCAACAAGTATTGTTTACACCCTGCTCTGAAAAAAAATTCTTGGCTGGTGCCTTCATTGGAACTTGACCTTTTCATCAGCTACAAACTTGGCCCACACTAAATTCAGAGGTACTGTGAGGTTACAGGGATAAAGTTCACAGCACAAAGAACCATCAGCACAGTCAGAAAGACAGGTGCCTTGAACCAGAGCTCTTCACCTTGCCCTTGAGGAGTTCTACACCTTCAGAGCAGAAATCAAGCATCTCAGAGGGCTGGGTGTACAGCCCAAGGCAGGTTGCTTAAAAATGCACCCAAGAATAAATCTATAGCCAAGAGGGGCAAAGGCTCTTCAGCACTTTCACTTCTCCAAGAATGTTAATTTGCAGTCAAATGAGCCTTGATATTCACTTCCTCCTAACTACAGGAACTGCCATTGTTTCCCCACAATATCATCTTAACTAAATCAGAAACAGTTCTATTTCAGGACAGGCAGCTTTTAATATATTAGTTAAGGTTGCTATGTAGAGTCCTTGTTATATCACCTTATCCTGGTTCCTGTTTGTGTCAAATGGATTGAAAACCTCTGCATTACCTTTTATTGCACACACCTCATGAACATGATTAAACCAAGACAGGAGCAGACGCTGACTTCACTGAAATCTATTAATTGCAGTAGTCAAATAATTATGTTTGCTCAAATAACATGAGCCTTTCCTATAAGATAAGGTGCAGAGACTTGGGACTGTCTCTCCAACCACTACCTTATGTAACTATAGGTCCTTGAAGAGGTCAAGATAACTTCCAGGTACAGAGAGGAATGTTGGATAACACCTTTGCACAGTCCTACAGCATTAGCAGGTGTGCCTTGCCTACCACATAACTGTGCCAGGGAGCAGCATTAAGCTCCAGGGAAGAAATGGAGTAAGCAGACTGTAGAGAACCCAACAAACCATGCTCAGTAGCTGAGGGAATGCTGCTGGAATCAAGCCACAGAGAGCTAAGTGAGCTAATAAAAACTGCATTATAGACCAACTCTTCTCAAGGAAGACTGCTCTATTCCTTCATTATATTTTGAAGCATCACATTGTTAAAGCCTCATTTATCCTCTGACTGCAACTCCTCCATTCCCACACTGCCACAGGGCTCAGTTGAACATACTGGAGGAATAGCTCAAAGTCCAAACACATCACAGCTGTTTGCTCAGCCAGAGGGCTGAATACGTGGGGAACATGCTCCACAGACAGCAGAGAAAGCCCACCTACAACAAATCACAGGTAAGACAACTTACCTTTGACAACGGTCCAGTTCAAGCAGCCCGAAAACAAAATATTGAACAGGATGAAAAGCTGAGGTGCTGTTTCACTGAGGTCTTTAATAACAAACACCTTGCTTACTTTGTTCCCCTGAAGAGCAGCTCCTGTCCGCAGGGGAGCAGGAGATTTGCAGAGTCATTCTCTCACAGCCTGCCCATGACAGATAGAAGGCTTGCACTAGAGGAGTAACATAATTCACACAAGTAACATTGAAATTGAAGCAAAAACGTTTCAGGACAGAAGAACTACATACAAAGAGACAGGCTGACCAACACACTGCCACCACCATTGCTGAATACTCAGGTTCTCCCACACTGCAACCAAAAGAGAGGTTTTGGAGCACTACAGCAGTCACCAGCAATTCAATGTGCAAAGAGCTGCATTGCCCTCTCTCCTGCTGAATCAGTGACAGGCTAGGGGTATTACAGGCTCATGTTTTAGGACATTTTGTCCTTACCTCTTATACAAGGAGGGTCACTGTAAATGACTGTGCATGTGCTTGTTTCACTTAGTACAACCCTTCATATTCACATATGCTCAACCAACACTTCACAGAACTGCGTGTTCCAGATAAGAGCAAGTCTTGAATCCCCTCTGCACAAGCTTTTTGGAACCTGCAGCTCTATACAAAAGCATCTTTGAGGATGCTTTGAGGTAAGTTTAGAAGCAGGACAAGGTACTCTCAGCAGCAGTCACTTGTCCCTTCCTGTGAGGAATCTGTACTATACTTTTTGAGTACTTGACGCCCTGAATAGGGCTGCAGCTCAGTTACCTGCAAGTAAGACATGAGACAGTTCAGAAAAGTTCAGCATTTCCAAGAGGTAAACTCATTTTGAGTTGTCAATGTAATTTGTTTTAGTCAGACTGAACCCATGATAAGAAGAAATGAAAACATTACTCAACAGCAGAGAGAGTAATAAGCAGCTGTACAGGTTGGTCAGTCTGGAGATACTGATAAAATCTGTTCTCTGCCAGGCCTGGCACTGCCTTCCACTGCCATTACCTCTAAGAACTCAATGACGTTTCAAGCACCTGGTTTGTACTGAACTGCTTTGCAAAGCATTTTCAATTACTGCTGCCTGACACTGGCAGAGTACGGCTGGCAAACAGACACAATCTTTATTATTAAGTCAGCTGAGGGAGCTAAATGAAAGGCAAGCCCTTGGGTGCAGAAGCCTTGCTAGAGCCAGAAAATGCTAAGACAGCTGCCCCACAGGGCACCATCCCTGCCACCCATGTATACTGGGCAAGGGGGATTCTGCTTCTGCACAAGAAGGACAGTCTGCCCTTGCACACTGAAATGAAATCAATCGAAATTCCATCAATCAGCTGAGTTTGATCAGATGTTTAAATGCATATAAGAGTAAACTCTGCAAGGTATATAGGCAGAAGAAGGGTAAATACTCGCACACAAGATCAATTGAACTACAGCACATTAAGAACAGCAATTCAGAGTGTAACACATCACAAAACACACTTTTCCAGAGAAACTCAGAAGTGTAGATGAAGACTCCAAAGCACTAACAAACCACGATTGTTTAGGCTTTTGCTGCAAAGTCCAAGTGACCAGTTTCAGGCTGGTCTTGGCACCTTTCAGTAGGAATTACAAGCAGCCAAGAACCCAGCACTTACACTCCTAACAGAGACTGAAAAATCCTGTTCTTGGTTAGCTTAATCCAAGTTCTGGTACAGAGCTGGCAGTGTGGAAGTCTGGATGAAGAGGCAAGAGAGATGGATGAAGAAAGGTAACAGGACACTGTAAAGCCAGTAGCACCCAGGCATTTCACTGCTCTAAAGCACTCATTTCCTATCCTACACCAAATCCCACCTGGAGTATAGCTGGAACTTAGAAAACATCTTCATGTGCCTGTGTCAAGGTCAAACAGTCTTATTTTGCCACCTTTCCTTCCCAGTACAACTCTTTCAATGTGTTAATCTCTGAGTTTTCACATGGCAGGTTTAATAAAGCAGCTTTATGAAGCACTAAGAGTTTAAGCTGCTATTCACTCTCTGAATAGAGAAATACAGCTTTTAAAGGAAAATAAGAACAAGTTAATTTTTAAGTTTCTTCAGAAACAGTTCTGCAAGATAGAAGGTTTTATCCACAACCTCCACCTCTCTTCCACACCTAAAAAAGACTGTCTGGCACAATCTTAGGTCAGCCTCATCTTTTGTGCAGCTAATTCACTTAGTAACACAGAGGACCTCCCATGCAAAAGCACTATTTTCAAGACTAAGACAGGAGAATGGAAGAACTTAAACATTAGCTTTTACTTCTCTTTTCATATCCTTCCTGTTCTTACTCTTGACTTTGAGACCAAAATAAGCGAGGTCTGGAATAAGAAGAATGGCTGAATGTCCTCTGATCTAAGAAGAGGCAAGAGAAGCTATTGAAACTTCTCTTGTGATCTGAACTAAGCAAGCATCTTAGGGAGTGGTGAGTCATGAAAGATAAGAGAGCAACCCAAGACAAAACTCCCTGCACAGGAAATACACCTTATCAAAGAAAGTCTAAAAATGAGATATCATGAATACAAACAACTGAACTGAGTGCTCTATGGACACCACATCAGCAGGGACTTGAATATATCAACCTAAGCAATATTATGAACATGGCTGAGCATGATAATAATTGATAAATGAGGCATGGAAGATGAACACACTGTACCAGCTAGCTGACTAACAAGCCAGGAACATTTGTTACAGAAGGACACACCAGCGCTGTGAAAGCCAAAAAGCAATCTAAGAGGCTGACAGGAATCTTTATACTTGCCAGATCAGTGACAATTGTTCATCAACAATAAGAGGAAGCTGCTAGGAATTCTCTGAGAGAACCTACATGAGACTGAAAGTACAGAATGCAATCCCTCCAGCCATAACTGCATGGATAAAACTGCTCCTGACATACCTCTGCAAACAAGATAGCATCAGGTGAGACATCTCAGCAGCTGTAACTCATCAATTGTGATAGACAGATGGACACCTCCTGTGCTGGAGGAGATGCACAAGTTACACCTGAAGGTGCGGGATGGAGCAGAGCCCCATCACACAGGGTAACAAACAGCAGGCAACAAAAGGGAGCCTGCAGCTGATGCACGATGCTGAGAGCAGGGTCAGGACCTTGGAGCGGGAGCACCAGGGAAGAGCCTGATTTATCGGGAGCAGAATGGCCTGACAGGGGCACGATCCCCCGGCTCTCATTTACACAGGACCATTCTCCGCTCGGCTCCCAGCCCCGATCGCATCCCTCCCCTCCCCTCTCTTCCCTGCGAGCCCCGGGATCGCTGCCCACACTGCCGCCCCTGTCCCGCACCCCAGGCAGCCACGGGGGAAGCTGTCACCGCACCGCCATCCCCAGAGCTCCCAGCGCCGGGAGAACCGCGAGGGGCCCGGGCCCCAACCGCCACAGCCCCACCGAGCGACATCCCCGCCGTCCCCCGGGCAACGAACACGCGGGGCCGAGCGTGCTCACAGCGCACGGCTGGGCAGGGACCGCCCCGGCCGCGGGCAGCCCCCCAGGCGCGCCGAGAAGAACCGAAGGAGGTTCAGCCGTTCCCCAAGCCCTGCGGGAAGGTGCTGCCGGGCGCCCCCTCCTCACCTGCAGCCCCGGCCGGGCACAAGGGCCCCACCGGCTCCCACCACAGCTCCCGCCCGTCTGCCCCGGGCCCGCCGCCCGCTGCCCTTTACCGGCCGCCCTCTCCCTCCCATTGGCCACCGCAGCGCCTCTTCCGCCCAGACCCGCGAGCTGATTGGTCAGAAGGCTAGCTGGGGGCGGGCGCTCCATCACTGACGCGCGGGTGCTATTGGCTAGAGCAGAGCGGGGGGCGGGACACTGCGGGCCCAATGGCTCGGGAACCTGTCAGTCAGGCGGAGGACGGTGATTGGCAGCGGCCGTGGGCTCAGGGCGGGGCTATGGGCAGCGGCGGTGCCCGTGGTGTCGCGACTATGACTGAGCGGGGCCTGCGGGCACGGCGGGCTGGGAGGGGTAGGGGCAGCCTTAGCCTTTTCCTCAGCTATATTTTCAGTATACCGCCACTTCCTGCCGCCACAGTCACTCCCCATGGTGTGGGGGACGCAGCCTGGGGAGCGGCTCCAGCTGCAGGACACGGTTGCTCCTCCGTGCTACGGAGCTGGGTGGTGTTGAGGAGCAAAGATCCCTCCAGGCTGCCGATAAGCCGTGTGATGTACCCGCTGCTGCTTACATAATTCTGCGTCTTTTACAAACAGTACCTTCGAGCCTTAGGAATGGTGGCTGGGCCGTCAGCACGCTGGGATTGTTTATCGTGGGCCCAGCTCTGGGTGCGAACGCTGGGAGCAGCCTTGGCTCTGCCCTGGTCCCTCGGAGCAGCCTTGGGCTGTGCTGGCAATGGTGAAGGGTCCCTCAGAGCTGGCAGCAGTGAAGGCTCTGCCCTGGTCCCTCAGAGTGCTCAGCACTGTCCCACCAAGTGGGGTCTGTGATGGGGGCAGCAAAATCCTCTCAGGTAGATGGACCCTACCCCATCTCAATGGCACTGGGAGGAAAATAAATTATAAGTTAAAAAACTGTCCCTGATGTGATGTTTATAAACCTGTGTTTTTTATATTCTTCCAGAAGAGCCCTGCGTTACGTTGTTGGTAACATCAACCGTTCTGAGCTGTGTTAATGGTTGCTTTATATAACTGGATGGAAAAATCCTTCCTCTCATTTCAGATATTTTAAATGTTTCCTCTGTTTACTGGGTGTTGGAGCTTCCTACGTGGAGAAAGCTCTCAAGGAGCAAGTCACATTTTCCAGGGCGCTGTGTACGTGGAGGGATGAGTAACTGCTGTAGCCTGAGTCACAGGGAAGGAGGGAGCTCTGGGTAAGGGCAGAGAGGGAAATTCTGGAATGAAGGTGGCAGGACAAACAGCATCCTCCTCTCTCCACGCTTGCTACAGGTGTGATCCCACACCACTCAAGTCAAACAGAGTTGTATTCCTTATCTTTTAATTAACCTTGTGAAAATACCCAGGGTTTTATGGTTGCTAAATTTGTCAGTAGCTCAGCTGGGCTGAGGTTTGGTGTGTCTCAAGGCAGCTATGCTTGTATCAAGTTAGCAGATAGGCTCAGCAGATAAACATCCGGTATCAGACTCAGCTTTAGGTATTTGAGGAATGTGTTTGAGTTTGATTGCAGAAAATTGCAGTCCAATTGATTCCAGGTGTACCTTAGCTCTTTCACCATCTGATCCAGGCAGGAAAAAACAGATCCGGGCAGGAAAATATGCCTCAAACCCTAGCTGAGCCTCCAGGCAAGGCTTTTATTTTAAGTCCTTGAGACTGTTGGAGTGAGAGAAGCTCAGCTGTTAGAAGAGAGCATTGTTACAGACCTGTCACAAAACAAAGCAAACCAAACTTGCTGCTCACTTCTTGCTGAGGAGAGCTGAACACTGAAGGGGTGGCAGCATAAATTCACAGGTGGCTGTGGCAGTGTGAGCCAGAATCCTGAGCTGTGTTCCCAAGGAGGGAAGTGATGGAAAAGGTGCTGTGTCTCCAGAAAGGGAGGGAAGAACCAGCGCAGGTCACTGGTGTTTTACTCTGGGCAGTGTTGAGGGGTTCCAGCTGCACCTTGTAGTGTGGGAGCAGAGATGTCTGAGGGGAAGCAAGAACATTTTGGGAATGCAAATCTGACTTTGGGCAGTTAAAACAGCTGGTGTGTGGGGGGTTGCTGTGGCTGGTGGGCTCTGCAGGGTTGGTGCTGCAGCAGCCCTGGGTGCCTGTGCCATGGGTGGAGCACTCTGGCCCAGAGCCAGGGGCAAGGCTGTGCCACTCACAGTGAACAGCTCATACCCAGAAAATGCCATCTGAGCCTGAGCCATCCCCAAAGGAACAGTGCTGGAAAGAGCTGAGCTTCATTTCCAGCCTTCTAGGGAAGGATTTAGCTGCTTCAGCCCAGCAGATATTTCAGCCTGCTGGTATTGCTGAGAGGTGGGGTGGGAGTGTCCAGGAACAACCCAATGCTTTGGAGACAGGAGGATCCCTCTCTGAGCTGTGTGGCAAAAATGGACAGTTGTACATGCTGGGAACTGCAAGCACAGGAAGAATGCAGCTTTGCCTTGTGCTTTGGGCAGGCAATTACCTCTGTACAGAGAGGCCAAAAAAAGCCTAATGAAAATCCCATCTTTTTAACTGCAGCAGTTGGAAAGGTACCAGGCACAGAGAACTCCACGTGCTGCTGAGCCAGCCCGAGACACCCCCATGCAACACCGTGGTGACAATCACCTTTTGTTCTTCACATCCCTCTCTCTTTTGGCTGTTGCTGCCACAACTCTGAACTGTTTTTCTGCTTCATTTCCCCTGGCCCAGCTTTTCTCCTGCTCAGCAAACGTGCTGTGCACTGAAGGACTCCTGCAGACTTTGCACCCCTGAGGAAACCGTTTTGCCAGAGGAAACATCAGGGTGTTCATCTATGGCAGTGTGTGGCAGGAGCAAAAAGGAAAACACCTCTTAGGCAGGGTTTGATTGCCAGCTGAAAATAAGCAAAGTGCCTGTCAGTGACATGTGAGCACAAAAAAAGCTTTGCAGATGGAAATAAAGGCAATGCTTTTTCCTCTTCTCCTGTTCTGCCTTCCCTGCAGTGCCAGTGAGGCTTTGGCTTGTGGGCTGCAGAGCCATGCTGTTCCTGAGCCTGCTGGATCTGGAGGCACAGTGCTCTTTGGACTCTTACATATTTTCTGAAAATGGTGTCTAAAAGAGTAATGGGCACTTTGCAGAGCTCTAAATAGACCAGCCTCTGTCCTGAGGAGCTGGCAATGAACAGAGGCAAGTGCCAGGGATGGGAGAACGGCTGCATCATACAAACCAGCTGGGGAGGTGGCACGTGGCCCACCTGATCTGTATTTTTCCATCACATTCTCATTCAGCTGCTCCTTGCCAACTTCCAGCTCTGTTACACTCCTCAAAAGCTTCTACTCTGGGTTTATTTAGCACGCTATTTATTTCCTAATTATAGAACTGAAGTGATTGACCTCAGCCCTTCTGGGTACTGCTGTCCACTTTTTTGTCCCTTCTAAACCATAAACTCTGGTCTCCTCTAATGGCTGAAAGCTATTGCTAGAGACTTTATGACTATTTTTTTTTGTTTGTTTTTCTCCCAAACCCCAGAGGGCTGAGACTGCTTGTACAGAGAGCATCACTGATCATTTCAGAGCAGATGGGCTATTGCATTCCCAAATTCTTTCGGCCAAAAGAGAAATGCCACTGAGCTGAGCACTTTACCATGCTGTGTTCTGCTGCTTCTGTCCACAATTTCCTAGCAGCCAGCTCACTGCTTTTATCCCACATCCAGCCACAGCTGCTCCCCAGAGGAAGAGGTTTTAAAAATCACTTCCTGGCATCAGCAGTGCTGCTGGTCCTGCTTTTGGTTGCTCCATGGCGCTTGGACCCTGCCTGGCTCCACAAACAAACTCAGTGGTCTGGGAGAAGGATCCATCTTGCATCTCCCTGAGAGGAACCTGTGCCACGACACTACTCCAGGGAGTCTGGTTAGGTGAAATTCCTACCTTCAGGATACCTTCTGCCCCAAAAGCTGCCAGGCTGAGCAGACTTGCTCTCTGCAGCCACCTTTAATGCCCCCTCTAGTTCATTTAGAGCTGTTTCTGCTGATTTCACACATTTTGAACTTAAGATACAGCTGCAGGTGCCAGGCAGTGCTTTGGTGTGGCACCTGTCCCTAGAGCCACCTGCAGAAGCAGGGGAGTTCTGTGCAGGGAAGGTGGCACCAGAGCAGCAGGTGTTTAGCAAGCAGTGAGAGCAGGAAGAGGAGACATCTCTGGGGGAAAGCAAGGTGGATTCAGAGAAATGGATGTACTGGAGCCAGAAGGATGTATGAGCTTCTGGAGAGTTTCCAAGATGTCTTGCTGAATAAAGGAAACCACTGGTCTTCTGTTTAATCCCAAGTGGTCTGTCTGACATTTGCCACTATTGCCTCAGTGTGTTGCTGAGGTTGGAGTCTAGAAAGGCTGTGATTGTCCCACCTCAGAAAGCTGGCAAAGGAGTCTACTATGGCCACAGTCTTATGGGTTTTTTTTTTCAGTAGCTGCTTGCAAAATTCTCTCTGTGGGAAAGTTTCCATAGAAGTAGTGGTGCCTGAGGAGAATGCAGGGTTGCAATCCTGCAAACTGTTCAGTGAACTGAACAATGGGATTAGCAGTCCCTTGTAAAAATCCAAATTTTAGTATTGCCTGAGGAATGGGCCTTTTACTAGAGAGCAATATTCATGGAAATAAATTGAGTGGAGGCGGAAGATTGATTTTGTGCCAAAATAGTGGGAATTGGGATAGATGGGGGAGGAAGGGAGGGAGGGAGAACACAACATTGTTTGGATGATGGTGAGTACAAAAGAAATGGTTACAGTTGTGATTTGGGAGAATGAGTGATGGTGTTTGGGAGCAGAGAGCCAGAGCTCTGTTTCCTGGAGGTGTACAAGGAAGGCAGGGGTGAGAGGAAATGGGCTTGATGCTGGTGCAGGGAGGAGGGTTGTGGGTGAGGCTGGTGGGTCCATGGGAGCCAGAGTTTGGCAAGGAGGGTAGGTGAGCAGGAAGCTGCAAAGAGCTGTGGGATGGTTGGGATGAAAGGCTAATCCAGAGCATCTCCACCTGCCTGATGGCTTCCTGGGGATGCACTGGCAGTCACAGCCAAGCAGTGAAGATCTGCCACCATGGC